GCGCACCACTCAGCTCCAGCCAATCACGAAGCTCCTAAGAGAATCGGTTCGCATGATGTCAGTTTGCTCTTGAAATTGGTGGTGACAAGACGTATGACATCGGTAAAAGTGCGTAATTGTGTAAAATTTTTGTTAATAAAGTATTATATTACGGGTTTTGAACTATTACAAGTTTTGTTTGAATAATATGTGTTTGTTTAGTCATACATTAAATATTATTATATCAAAATTAAATATTTTTTCGAATTTCTTTCGTCGATTTATATTATTCGTCTATTTGATAATTAAAATGGCCGATAGTGTGTCTTATAAATTTTCGAACGTTAAACTATTACATTATTTTAATTATAATTTTAATTTTAAATATTTGTTTTAAAGTTTTGATTTTTATTTGTGTAGATTATTGTTTGGTTGATGTGATGGTTTCGAAGCTTATATATATTTAATAATAATTGAAGATCTGAGGACTTTTTTTCAAATAAGGTAAGATTTTACTTATTTTAACAAAAGATAATTTCTATAAGCATCTTGTTTTTTTACTAGTAGAGAGATGAAATACCCAGATTTTTAAATATTAATATATTTCGTATATTTTTATATATATTTTATATATTCTTATATATAGATATATATTGTACATTGATGTATATTCTTATATATATTTTCTTTCTAAATGTGTTTATCCATCTGTTCATTCATGCATTATTTGCATTTGTTTTTATTTTGGTGTTTAATTATTTCGAAGCTGAAAACATTTTTTACTTATTTTACTATTAATTATTACATATATATCACGTTTCCAGAAAATTGATGGTTGGTGTTCGTGCCACGCTCGACATGTCTCGACTTGTTGTTATGCTCCCCTCTCTAATTTCTAATTCAATAATCGAAATCGCGGCACGAGGTGTCATTCTATTATCGAAAGTCGTGGCGATTAGACGCTTTGTTTCAGGTATGTATTTTTTCTATTACATAATTTATATTTCATTATTATTGTTTTATTTTTTGTATAATATATTTAATTAATATTGTATATAATTAAAACATTATTCAATAATTTATTATTTATTATATTATTATATTATATTATATTATAATTGACAGTTTCTTGAAAAATAACTTATTTTGTTGTATTCATTTGTTGAACTATTAATAAAAAGTAAAAATTAGTTCGTATTATAATTTTTATAATTTTTATAATATTTTATTATAAATATTATTTTATTTAAATATAGTTGGTTTTAATTTCTTACATTTTACTCATTTATTTTAAGGATTTGATTATCTTTTTTTCAGATTAGTAGCTGATTACTGATTTTTTCAAAGCGGAAAAAATTTCAATATGGACAATAGTGAATATTCAATACTATAATCAATTTTTATGCTGACTTTTCATGGATTTTTCATGGTAACATTTGATTTTTAGTAAAAAAAGATAAATATATTTACCAATTCTAACCAATAAATTAACCAATATATTATTTTTTTTTTAAATTTGAATAATTATTAATATATTATGTACTTTATAAATGATAATTTTACATTGCATTAATTTTTTAGTACTTGATATGAAAATAAAAAAGATTTAACGAATTGCATTCTTATTTTGAAAATAATAAATTATTTTTTATTTCAAATAAAATAACTCATTATATGAAAAATTGTGATTTCAAAAAAGATAATAATATTTACTTGAACAAACGCTCAATAGAAAAAAGAAGGAAAATATCGACATAATATTTTTATATTTTTTTTTTTCACTTTTCTCCTAATAATATCAGTTTACTTTCAGATATTATTTATGACCACGTGCAATGTGGTTGG